GCGTTTTTTCATAAAGAAATTTTTTGAAGAGGCTGAAACTCGAAATTTTGAAAAGTTGATTACAGATTTGAATTCCTCGACCCTCGGGAACGACAGAATCTGGGAAGTTAGGACTTGTTGCATCCTCACCCACGCTCACACCCATAGCCACACGCACACCCGCGCACATCTGCAGCTACAGCTACAGCGGGATAGTTTCACCGACAAACTCCCATGTTTACGATGGCTTTCAGTAGCCAAGCTGAAAATTTCAGCGAGTGAAGACCCCAATACTCTAAGATTAATGATAAAAATATTCTACGAATTTCTAGTCGGTATCATGGTTTTTTTGAGACCACGAAACATCACCTTTTGACCTACAATGACCATTTCCATGATTTCTCATCATTTTGAAGTATTGACTTCTTTTCTACAACTATAAATCTTAATTGAAATTTTATATGTAGCTATACAGTGTTAGGTTAATAGATTTTGTACAACATAGTATCAGCTCATTTATATCCTCAAAATAATGAAAAATCATGAAAATGGCCATTATAGGCCAAAAGGTAGTGTTTTGTGGCCTCAAAAAACCATGATACCGACTAAAAGTTCGTAGAATTTTTTTATTATTAGTCTTAGGGTATTGAGGTCTTCAATCGCTGAAAGTCTCAGCTTGGCTGTTGAAAGTCATCGTAAACGTGGAAGATTTTCGGTGAAACTACCCAGCGGCATTTGTATACAGACTTCATTCTAGTAAAATGTCACAAACACTCACTGAAGAACACATGCCAATAGCAAGACCAAATTTATTCAAACAACTATATGCCTATTTCTTGCAAGAAAACCTATACCAAGGCGAAGATTCGTTGTCCCGCAATGAGCAACTTTTGTCTACTCGTATTTACTTGGGACTTCTTGTAGTATCTGTGGTGATTTTGTTTGCGTTCACCGCCTCGAGCTCGCAAATGCGTTCGATCATTGTGCATTCACCGTCGATATCTCAATTTGATTTTTTATCTACTCGATATCCATCAACATTGTCATGTCCCTGTTCTCAAGTCACAATACCCTATAATGCATTTCTTTCATTTGCTCCAGAATATCATCAACTTTGTTCTAGTGAGTTCGTATCAGAATCATGGATTACGTCAATGTATTCCATAAATACAACAAACTACTTCGCATTAGACTTTCGTACGAGTGCTTCGTCTCAATTTCAAGTACTTGCAATGCTCTGTACTCTGGTGGCTCAATCTGTTTCGAGTGCAGTTCAAGCATTCACTAATCAGCAACTAATCTCCAGTCATACTCTATCACGATCCATTTTCGATGCGCAATCGATAGCACTCGTACAACAATTACAAACAGCGGCAGTCACCGACATAACAAACATGAATCAATTTATCTTATTGAGCATCTCTCGTAATAATCTCGTATCAGCATTGCATACCAATTATTAAATTTATAGTGTACCTGGAAGTAGGTTCTATGTCACCTTTTCGGGCCTCTACGTGTCAAGTAACTATTCGCTGATAGATGATAATGTAATTGTTTGCAACTGTGACAATACCTATGAATGCGTCGATTCATCAGGTTTCTTCAATAATTGGACACTAGCACCTCCTTTTTACTATTTCATACCTGATCCACCTCCGATATTCTCTGTGCCAGGTATTTTGACTGGGTGTACTCCACACAATTCAATATTCCAATCGACCATGGAATGTTTCTATAACTCATCATGTCTCAATCAAATTCAAATGCTAATGGATGACACTACATCTCGTCGTCCACTTGATACTACGGTTCGATCTCGATTTAAACCCAACTCAACAATAAAGTCGATGTTCGCCGCGTTGTTTATCGAGGATTGGCACGATACACGAAATTTTACTGGCTACTTTGACACATGTAAGCCGAAGTCATGTTCGTATACTTACGTGCAACGGTTCTACGTTGTCTACGTGTTCGTTACAATATTTGGTCTTATTGGTGGGCTTACTGTGGTACTTCACTTGGTTGCACAATTTCTTGTCCAGTTTATCATTCGTCGAGTTCAGTTAATAGTTTGTTATCAAGCCATTGGTGAAGAGCATGCGCCAGCAGCAAATAGTGAAAGACCAAGTAAGTGTACATGGAATACAAGCTATCTAGAGAAATCGATGAAACATCAGAGAGAGATTAAAAAATTTCAACAAAATTTCTCTGAAATAGAAATGTAAAATACAATGGATCGACTCAACTAATAAATTAGAGACCTCTGCGTGTCGATAATTGTTAGTGAAGGCTAGACTGATACACATCATGAAATATTTGTCATGATTTCTGATTTCAGATTGTTTGTCTACTCTGTATTTGTGAAACGGAGTAGAGGTCCACTTTTTCCCGTATATAGTTCAATATTCCTTTAAAACCTTCTGTCACAAAAGCATAAAGAAGAATACTATATCTTTCATTGAAAAAAAGTCGATTTAACTGTACTAATACTCAAGCGGCAACAATTGAGAATGGCATACTCTGAAAGAAAAAAACGAGTATAGCAGAAACTTTTTATGAGTACTGCCAGCGGGTAAAACGCAGAGTTCTCGAAATGGTTCTGACCGGGAAAAGGTTCTTTGGAAGGGTGTGTGGGTGGGTTGAGAGAAGATCAACTCATACCCACAACCACATCCACACCCAGCTCTTCAGTCTTCTATTATCGATGTTCATTCTTGATGTTGTCAGTAAATCTTAGTACGTTGCACTGAAATCTTTTTCACATAGGTTTACAAATTCGTTTGAGAAATGCTATATTTCAAATCAAACAGAAGCTAATCACAGTAAATTTATTCAAGAATTCAGCATTCTTGTTAGATGAGCAACAATGCCGTTGGTCAACCCGTTTGTATGTTGTGTTACTTATCATTGGCATCCTAATATTGAGCATTTACTCATCCGTGACACTGCATACGATCAGTATCACAGTGTATAATCCATCTTGGAGTCAATTCGATCAAATGGATGCTCAATATTCATTGACACTTTCATGTCCATGCACAAATCTTGCCGTACATTATTCTAGTTTTATGTCGATTCAGCCACGTTTCCATCAACTTTGCTCGAGTGATTTTATTCGAGATGACAGTTGGCTATCATATTTTGTTTGGTTACACTATGCTAATGCTACACTATCGGGTTCTACCTTTTATGTGTTGGATTTTCGTCTATCTTCGGGTGCATCACTCTTTCGTCTAATGGCAACTCTTTGCCAGTTGGCCAATGAAATGATAACATATTCACTCATAGCTTTCAATAATACTGAATTTGTTAGTGCTGAGCCACTATCAAGTCACAGATTTAACGAGCAAACGTTTTCAATTATTGAACAATTTCAAGAACAGGTTAGACATAATCTAATTAACATGATTAATGTGATGATATTCTTTCTCTTAGACACTTGCATCCTTTCTCGCTTTGTTGTCACTTGTGCGAACGTCAATTGAAGATAATCACTTCTATGTTTCATCTGTTCCAAATTTCGCACAATCTTCGTTCATAATAAATTATTCGCGTAAGTATGGTTTCAGTCGAAATCAAGATCATCAAAAAACTGCATTTGATAGAAAAACTTTCTAGAAAATATATGATTCGCTTTGAGAGAATGACAATCGATTTCTTTAGAAAACAAATATCATACAATCTATGCATTATGATAAGTTGGATTGAACAATAAAAATAAATTCAACTAAATAAAAAGAAACTCCAAAAGAGTAAATAAAAATTAGAAGTCCTTTGTTTGATTTTTCTTCTTGATTTCTACAGGATAGAAGCTTTGAGGTACTCTTCAAGCAAACATTCCTTTTTTTACATGTACGAATATCTACAGTGTGTCCTAAAAGCTCTTTCCTAAAAGTTTTCTCGTTCCATTACACTATTCACTAGACTTCATTGACTAATTCTTTTTTTTTGAATAATAGATAAATACGCCGAGTTTTTATTTCTAAAGACAAACTTCAAAAGCATTGTTGAAAGTTAAGACATTTAGCCTAAATACAAAAATTTAGTCTGTTTTCTCTTTCCCAAAATACTCATAGTTTGTATGTATTTTAATTTCTTGAATTTTGATTTGGTACTATTCATTTTGTTTTGTAAAGAAATATCCAAAAAACAAATTCTTTAAAAAGGTCGTTTTCGTATTGAACAATTTAAAGATTCGTATCACTCAACAACTCGAATTTATTAAAAATGAAATCCTATGTAATGCTTTTCTGGAAAAAGAAAATAGACTAAATTTTGTATATAGGTTAAATATCTTAACTTTCAACAATACTTTTGAAGTTTACCTTTAGAAATAAAACCCCTGTGCATTTATCTACCTTACGATGGAAGTTTACAATTTTGATAATTGCAGTAGAAATATCACACTAAACTGTGTCTACAATCAAATATTCGAAGTGATCGAGCCTGATTTCGAAAACACATGCATACTGAATTTTTAAGGTGTTCATGAGCTTATGGTGCTGCAGAGTCAATGAGTCACTTCTCGTATTGTAACTCACTCGAAATTCAAGTCCAACTAGAATGTCTTTTAGTGTTTGATTAACTGTTCAAAAACAATTTATCACGAACCGAAAAATAGGTGTCCGATTGACGTGACGAATGAAATCTGGACAAGCGCAGTTAGAAAATATTTTTTTCACATAAAGAAAATAAACTTCGAATTTGACGAGAAGTATCGCAAGTATGGCATAAGTGTAACTACTTATGCCGATTTGAGAAAATAAAAGAATATTAAAAAAAACCATATTTGAAATGTATTTTTGTTGGAGCGTATTCTACGAATTGTTTTTTCATAAATTATAGCATCAAATTATTCATGGGCATTAAAATACACGTCAAAAATATATTATCTACCTGGAGGTAAGACCTGTTCATGCTTAACAAGCAACTCCTGTACACGTCCGCAAGGAATCTACTGTTCATCAAATGCTTGTCACCTCCCTACCTCTCAACCTAACCAAACTGTATCTGGCCTTGTGATGAGTTGTTTTCCAGTTAATTCATTGCTACTTTCAACACTTGAATGCCTTTATAATCAATCATGCATTCAAATGTTACTTGATTGGCGTTTGTTTGAAGTCGAACAAGTGTATAGACCAGTTATATTAAACGTTTCAGCACTTGATTCTCGCTTGCCAAGTCGCTATTTACCTAATACAATTATGAATGTTATTGTCTCAAATCTAATGATTGAAGATTGGATCAATACGACAAATGTAACAGCTCATTATGATCAATGTAACCCACGTGTTTGTACGTATACTTATACAGATCGCTACAACATATTTCAAGTTATTGCAACAATTCTTGGTCTTGTGGGTGGATTAAATTTCATACTTCACCGACTTGTACCAATAGTTGTGAAAATCATCTCATCAAGACTATTATTACGACGTGTACATGCAACTACAGAATCAAATCATGCAATCGGTAAGTTGAAATTGATCATTCATCAAAAACAAGATTTTCATTATAAATAAAGTCGCATTCAACGAAAGAGAAGTTCCTCTCGACATTGTCGATGCCTCCACTATGAAAGAAAAATAATGAACAGAATATCTGATTTTCGCTCATAGCCTATGTATGGAGTCGAAGAGGTCGAAAGCGGCCTGAACTTAATCCCGAAAATTGTGCTTCACATTGAATTCTAGTGTCGCACTGCTTCCAGTCACCGACACATTACATATAGGATTCGAATGTTAACAGTGAAAGTTGTATGTCATATACATAAGACTGAGACTTAAAAAGATCTTTGCTAGACTTTCGGATAAATGTGTAAAAAGTGCGTCTATTTTAGAGCTATCACTTTTCTTTTATTTCAACTTTTTTTTGAGAAGAAAAGACAAATTAATCTCTTACTTTTTATTGTTTTTCAAATAGAAATAAAAAGTCTATCTTCTTTTCTTTTCTGAAAGAAAAATGAAACTCGTAGCATACAATTGATTTTCGACACATCAGCTCTGAGTAAAAATGCAATCGTACACATGATTGAAGCTTGTCATGGGGTGTACTCTGACGAAGTAATTCTTGAGACCAATAATGATTCATTCCATCTTATTGTAACATTATTTTGTCGTCATTTAGTTCAAGTCCATGTGTATCATGCATAGTTTTTGTACATAAGCTTAAACATCCTAAAGTACTATACCTATGTATTCTACTTCGCTGAAACCTTGATGAAATCACGCACAATTGCGAATCGTTATGCGCTTCATTATCACGCTAATCTTTACTGAAACTTCGCATAAATTAGATGAAAAAAAGAAAAATAATGCATGCTAATGATAGAGAACTCGAACTTGTGATTCTTACTTTGAAAAAAAAAGTGGAGTTTAGCAGAATCTTTTTATAGATTCGGTGAAGAACTCACGAAACCATATCTGATTTTTCGTAACAAAAATTGGTTCTGTCCTGAGTTTTAAGTGTCCTTTAATTTAAATGATTTATCATTATACCTTTCTCAGTTTTACCATTAGGCTTTGTACCTGAAAGCCAATTCAATGTTACAGTATCATCTTCTATATCCTTATACCTATACTTTATGGCTACACCCTTGTACTTTTATCCTTATGACTATACCCTTGTTTCTTTATCTTTATTACTATACTGTTGTATTTATGCCTTTATGATTATATTCTCTTACCTATAGTCTTATGCGTTCTATCTTTTGTCGATATCTTTATATCTATACCCTTGCGACTATATCCTTGTATGTATACCCATATGATTGTCGCTTTATGACTCTAGGTGTCATAAATGGAACTGGTCTAGTTTTTTGACGACCGATAGCAGCGCCGGTCTGAAAATTTCGGATCGGACCATACTAGCCGGTCTACCAGTAATGGATCGATTCTTACAATGAAATTTTATTGGATAGTGAACTCTCGCAAGTTACTAATTTTGATCATGAATCTGATATATATGAACATTTGTGTAGTAAGTCTATATGTGGTTTTGTATTAAAAAATAACAATGACTGAAATATCAATCCATTATATTTCATTTCATGACACAGTCATGATGCATTGATTGTTTTCAATAGTTTAGCCTGTAGAAAGCATTGTAATTTGCTATAGACAATAATAATAATAATAAAACTGATATTTTCATTGATTTTTTTTTTGAATAGAAAACTACATATTGAATATTAGCACACTAGTGTTCAGATATTTTAGATTCATAATCTAAGGTAGAAACTTGAGAGAGTTCAGCATGAAGTCAAATTTCATTGTAAGAATGGATCTATTGCCGATAGATCGGTCAATCACCCGGTGGTTGGTACCGATTTCATCTATGATACATGTACACAAATACCATTATACTTATACCTGTATACCTATGCTGTTATAGATTTACATGTACAGCTATACTCTTAAGAGTGTATCCTTGCACCTATACTGGCTTTGTTAGACGTCGTATTACATTTGTTGGATCCACAGTTGAACGATGTTTGCGGTGCAACAATTGCGTCCCGTGTTGATTGAATCAGCAAAGATCTATGATATTACAGACTGTTTAGAAAAAAAATAATAGAAAACAAAGATCGTATATGAAACTGTTTCAGTTTGCGTATGGAATGACTTAAGATGCTATCGCAGTTTTCGTGCTCTTTCTTTGTGTCTCATGCTTTCAAATTATTGACTGTGTTTTGTACGAAGTGTTTGCGTTTCCGATTGATATATTGACAAATGTGACTTTCTCTTTGATATCAATGTATTTTGCCTATACATGGATCAAAATAGCATCTTTACAAACATGTTATCGAGCTACTTGTAGGGCGAGTACTTTATTATAAAAGGAAAAGACTAATTTCTGAATACATCGATTGAAATCACGAACACATTGTATAAAATTCATACTTATGTCATATTTTGGCATAGAAAATGATAGAAAACAGCAGAATTCATTTAATCTTTTGAGTGCCATTGCTCAACCAATTGACAAAATTTCTTTAAGATATTATATTTAATATGGATAGTATGGTGGACCAATAAACTTTAACAGAAATGTCTTTTGATAATCATCGACGAGCCTATAAGAAAAAAGTTAGTAAGATATAGAAGAAATAGTCTCTGATATAATATAAACACAATCAGTTTAATGAAGGAGAGATGATCAAATACCAATGCAAGTCGTCGTTCGATGAACAACGATTCGTCCATGAAGTTCATCGACAGATATATATATTGATTGCTAATTAAAATTAATAGCCGATCCTACTGACCTGAGCAACTATTCAAAGTGTCATCACGTAATCTTTCGACTAAAACTTCGCCTATTTTGTCGAGATGACTGAAATATAGCGTAGTACGAATTCGTTATCCATAGGTTCGATGAATTTGACGAAATTACACAATATATTGGCATAACCTCATTGCTACGTGTAACTTCGTCGAAGTGCAGAAAAAAGAGTTCATATAAGTAGTAAAATAACTATTGCCCATTTCAAAAAAAAAGGCGGATGAGTATTTTTTGAATAACTTTTGGTAGAAGCAAGATAGAGGGTTGCAGTTTTCACCGTTGGAAAGAAGAGATGCAGGTGTATTGAATAATATATTATAGGCTTCTCTAAGATGTTTTCCAAAGTTTTCTTAATCAGTTTTCTGAAAAAATGCTGGAAAAGCGGTTTCTCTTAAAAAGAAGAAAAATGCAAAAAGGAATCTTTTACATAGAAATTAATAGATAAATTGGCTAAGAATTTCTAATAAAATACCTATAACTTCGGAACGAGTAAATTGAAAAGTCTGGGTCCTGCACAGTTTTGTAGATCTTTATTTGGCGGTTCGAATGCGCACCTGATTATTGAAAATTCGCCTCAGTTACCTTAGGGAGTATGTTAGTTTTCAAAAACGTCAATTTAAGCCCTTGAAAAAACTAGGTTAAATTATTCTGTAATATACAGTTCGATGCGTTCCTATCTCCTCTTTTCAATGATGAAAATCGCAGTTCTCTATAGTAATTCTATCAAGAGTTATTCAAAAGATACTCGCCTGCCATTCTCTATTTTGGAAATGGGTAATAGTTTTATTTTGTCGCTTTCGGAAAACCTTGCGATATACTTCGTCATACTTTTTTTCTTTTTCTTTTCTGTCATAGATCAAGCAGATAATCGACCCAAACGAAGACGTTCATGTACTAAATGCGTCACCAAAGCTATCCTTTCAACCAATATTTTCAATAACGAAACGGATACACCATTTTTGGCTACTCGTATTTATTTAATTCTACTCTATATTTCACTCATAATCCTGATGATATTCGCCGGTCTCACTCAACAAACACGTACATATACAGTCAAGTCACCGTCTGAAGCAACATTTGAAATATTTCATAATCAATATCAAGCCCAAGATATTTCATGTCCTTGTAGTCGAACATCAATAGAGTATGATATTTTTCTGTCTGTATCGGCTGTGTATCATCAAATATGTTCAAGTGGTTTCATTGCATCGGCCTGGTGGACCTTAGTCGCAAATAGGGGTGATACATATGCTTTGAAAGATCAACCTTTGCTCAGTGCCTATTTTCGAATGATCGCTTCATTTTGCAGACTAGCCAATCAAACGGTGACGAATGCCGCACATACATTTGCGTCAAAGACATTTGTTAGCGTAGAAGCAATAACATCAAAATCATTTGAAATTCAAGTTGCATCATCATTAAATACATTTATTCAACAAACACCTTTGACATTTCTTCACACACTCCAATTCATCAGAGATGCATTTCGTTCAAATCAATTACAGAATATGTTTATGACAACATGGGAAATTGCATTTACCACAGCTGCAGAAAATTATATCGTAGCAACGATCCCTCGTTCGTACAATAATGGTACATGTTTATGCGCAACATCATTGTCAGCTACATGTTGGAGGCCGCTCGACTTTGTTTTACACCAGAGAACAATAACATTGCCAGGTCTTGTTGGTGGTTGTCTGCCTGTGGATGGATTGCGGCAGTCAACAATGGAATGTCTCTTCGATTCTACCTGTTTGTCTATGCTCAGTACTTTGCTGAACAGTTCAATGGTTCCACCTTCGCTCAATACCTCGGTTGTTACTCGATTTCCGTACTTGACAACAAAATTAGGTACGATTATCGATGAATTATTCGTCGAAGAATGGATCAATGCCAGTAATTTTTCAGCATATTATCAAGCGTGTTCTCCTCGTTTATGTCAAGTGAGATTTAATGAACATAATAATGCTATCTATATAATCACAACGCTGTTGGGCTTCTACGGTGGTCTTACAGTTTGTCTTCGATTTATCGTATTACGCAGTTTGTTGATATTCAAAAAAGTTCGATATTTGTGGCAGAGACACCGTGAATAAACATTAACTGTCGCTCTCCGTAATCAAATCGATTAATGTAATGAACTCTGAGAAAACATTCTCGAGGAAATGAACAGTCGATTAAAGTTACCAGTGACTGAAAAAGAATGAACTTCTCGATAATTGAGTTATATCGATCTAAGACTTCTTTGCTTCTTATTTATCCTTTTGCTTTAAAAAATTCTTGTTGAATTTCTTACACAATTATATAAAAGAGATTCACCAGACATGTAATTGTAAATTCGGTATCCAAAGATTTACCCTATTTTTCAACATCGGGTAGGCTATACATTAGTCATAAACATGAAGTAATGCAAGTCAGATTCCTATACAACCTCATCATTTTCTCATGAGGAACAGAGTAATTCTTTCAAAAACGTACCAGAGTTTACATCGACTTTCATACAATGGACTGAAACTTTCACAACTTGTAAAACTTGTATATGTGAGCTCAGCCATAGGTTCAAAATAATTTGAAAAACTTGCGATGCGATCCAAAAAGGGCTCAAGGTCTGAGTGTAGGTGTAAGTATGCGTGTGGATATCAATCTTGTGATCACTCACATCAACACCCATACCCACACTCGCAGCCTTCGCCGAAATCATCGACCTGAGTAACAATAATTATTTTTAAGAGATGCAAAGGCTTCATGGCAAAAGCGATCTGAAGGATGTCGAGCGCATAGTGACTATTGTCTAGTAATGGATCGTCGTATGATATGTGCTTGACATCTAGAAATATGTGGGAAGGAACTATGTTGTATTACTGAAGTTGAAGAACAACAGGAAAAACAAGTAGCTATTCTTCAAAATGGTAATGCTAAGTTAAAACGATTTTGGAACATATTACTTGATCAAGAAGAAAAAGAATGAATATCATAGACAAATGTTCTACGTCTAAATAGAATATTTTGATTTGTTTATAATTTTATTTTAACTATTTTGACAAATGTGAAAAGAACATAAATACGCTTTCTTTTTGCTTTTTTCACAAGTGCTTCAAGAGAAAAATACGGTTTCATTTTCTGTATTGAATGCTTAAAATAAAATCTCATCATCTTTCATGTCTAATTCTAGTGATACTCGAGCAATGCAGGCAACTAGATTGATATCATAACATGATAACAAATGATTTTCAACACAGCAAAATATGCATTTGTTGAAAATTCTTTTACTAATAAAATATATTCCTGGAGCATGTTTTTGACAATTAAGAGCGACCATCTTCTATCCTTTCGGAACCAGAGGAAATACAGATAATGTCGAAAACTCCTTAAAAAGCGCGGTAGTTGACATAAGGATTAATAAAATCATTTTTTGTAAGCAGTTAATGCAAGGATGAAAGAGAACATCTCATCAGTTTACTAGAAAACAGATACTTGAGAGAACAGTCAAATAATGTAGAATCAATTCAGATGCATATCGTCCAATACAATTAGACCTAAATTTATTTTTAATAAAAACTATTACTTTGTAAGATATTAAGTTCTAATATAAAGACAAAATCGGTAACTTTAGATGTTTATAGCGATCATAATGAATAAATATCTAGACGTATTTAGTCATTATATACAATTGATAAGGAATGGCCAAAAAAAAATTCATGAAATGTACAGATTTTGAACAAACGTTTGATAATTGTAAAATCTTTGTCTAATGTTTAAACATTAGAATTATTATTTCTCGAAGTATAATTATTATCTCAAACACCTGCAAATGCAACGATTTAAGATTGAAATACATAGAATTAGAAAAGTTGATAAAGATGTGTTGTTTCAAGTTCAAAAATAGTATGAATTGTTTCACCTAATGTTAATGCACTTTGAGCAAGTTAAGTTGTAGAATAATACATAGCATAATAAGCAATAAAAATTGAATTTGCTTTATCACTATTAATACAAGGTACAAATGTAGAATATAATTCACTTCCAGTTAAACATTCAAGATAATATGTTAATAATCGATTGAGTTCGTCTTCACGTTGAATTTGTAAACGATGAATCATTTGATATAAATCAATCAAATGTTGTTCATGTTTTGTAAGATCAGTTTTATTTAATTTTGTACGTGAATAAATACATTGACGAAATAATTGATGAAATTGTGTTTGACTTAAAGCAAAGTAAGATATCGATAAATGAAAACAATCATTCAATTGTCTACTTAAATCA